TGTTTTTATTAGATTGTCTATGGGCTTGGTGTTTGGTTTGGCTTCGAGCGATTTTGTTTTAGTTATTTTCCCTTAAATTTGTGTTAATTTTTTATTATTTATTAATTTAGCCCTTCTATGTAAAAAAAAAAAATGTAAAAATCCAAAAAATTGTTTACTAAAGACCATAGACTTTTTTTATTTACTTTTCTCATTCGTCTGGTCGAGTAAAAATCTCAAACACCCATATTAGGTGTCAGTTAATGTGAGGTGTTGTCTCTTCATATTCTCATTTCTGTGCTTGAATCTTTCATGTGTACCATTTTGGGCTGGGCTTTCCTCCTGTTCCAAATCTGAACTAGAGAATGTTGTTTAGACCCGTGAGATAAATTACAGGTGTGCAGGGGTGATTTTTGCACTATAGAGAAGGGTAGAGCTTCGTGGCCGAGCAAGGCAATCTAAAACAGAAGTGTGCACAAATAACAAATGGTAAGGTTGCCTGACTGGGGTTAGGTTGGAAAATCTCTCCAATGGTAAAGTCAGGAACTCAGACAGAAGATCAAGAGAATGAGTGTAGAGAGAGAGGGTAACTGCTCTAGAGTGTAAAATTTGGGATCTTTGTAAAAGGAGGTAAGGTTACCTTATATAGAGGGAGTTGACTTGCTCCCCAAGTTCGTCTCTCTTTGCCATCTCTCTCTCTTATGGTTTAACAGATTGCTCCTCATTAGAGAAGAAGAACGAGTTTGCTTGATATCTAGATATGTAGGTTTGTCATGTGTGTGCTATGTTTCTTCTGTCCCTCCACTTCTCCACGTTTCAAGCGGATAGCAGTGTAGGGACAGACCACCGCCCTTGCAAGGATGCCCTTTTTGTCTTTGTGGCATTGGGCTGCCCTCCAAGCGATGGGCCGCATTTCAGAGTGGGTGGGGCCTTAGGGGCGAACCTATAGCTCGGCCGCACTTCGGAGTGGGCGAAGGGCTGTGAGCTTGGCTGCACTTTGGCATGAGCCAGGGCAAGGGCCAAACCCCTAGCTAGACCCATTTCGGGGTGGGCCTTCCCCTTCAACAAGCCTTGTTTTAATAATTTAAATTGTTCATTTTACAAGGTACTTAGTAGATTTTGTACACAAAAAAATAGGTCGATTCGATACTCGTAGAGTATTCAATTTATTACATTTGTCTCAAAAAAAATATATATATATACAGTAAATGTATTTTAAAAGTATACTATCTTTTGTTTTACTCACAAATGTGATAAACGAAAACTCTACAAAATAAACAATTTTGGTCATCAAAACGTGACCCGTGATACACCCAGGGCCAAGCAACATACACTAGTCCAAATTTGTAGCAGAGGCAATCTAGAGTCTTTTATTTTCTTGGAACCTGGGTAATCACTTGCGACTAGGGTTGTGTTATTGTAATATCTTAAAGATTGTATAATCATGGTTGTTAGTATAGTACGATTCGGACGATGCGATATGAATTTAAGGGTACACAATACAAATCACGCCTGTGAATCTCAAACTTCTTGGAATTGCACAATTCAAATTTTGTATCATTAGAATCAAGTCGAATCGTCAATATTACGAATCCGATCCACCTCTACGACTCTAGTAATCAATTGCTTCAAAATCCAATCGACGAGTCCGAGTCTCAATCCCGTAATCAATTGGGTCAAAATCCAAACGACGAGTCTGAATCTGAATCTCGTAATCAAGCGCAGGTCAGATGGGCTATTACAAGAAGGAGAACTGCAATAGCTCTTCAGAATGCTGGTTGAGCTGAGACAGAGATCGAGACAAAACCTCAAGTGAAGGACGAAGATGCCTTGAATCCCATTACGCCTCTCGTTGTCTCGCCTAGTGTATCTCATGACAATTTTAATCACTTTCCTGAGAAAGTCTCCAAGAAAAAGGTTTTCCTTTTTTTATTCCTCTCTTTTTGGTTTTAATGTGAGGTGTTGTCTCTTGATATTCTCATTTCTGTGCTTGAATCTTTCATGGGTACCATTTTGGGCTAGGCTTTTTGGATGATGTTCTTCAGACCCGTATGTTTTAGTAACAAACGCGACAAATTTATATCGACCTGATTTTTTGGTATCTGTGATATGCATGAAAGAATCCACAAAATAACCTTTTTGGGTATCAAAATGAGACCCGTCATACACCCAGGGCCAACACAACATACTCCTGTCTAGATCTGTATAAGAGGCAATCTAAAACCTCTAATTTTCTTGGAGCTTAGTCACTTGCAACTAGGGTTGTGTTATTGTAATAGCTTAAAGATTGTATAATATAAAATATTCCATTTTCATGATTTTGATTGACATTCGATTTTTTTTATTAGTTGGTCTTTGGGCTTGTTGGTGTCTAGTTTGGCTTCCAGCGATTTTGTTTTAGTTATTTTTCCTTAAATTTGTGTTAATTTTTTATTATTTATTTATGTAGACCTTCTATGTCAAAAAAAAAAGAAGTAAAAATGTAAAAATCCAAAAATTGTTTACTAAAGACCATGGACTTTTTTTTATTTGTTTTTCTCATTCATCTAGTCTAGTAAAAATCTCAGACACCCATAGTAGGTGTCAGTTAATGTGAGGTGTTGTCTCTTCGCATTCTCATTTCTGTGCTTGAATCTTTCATGTGTACCATTTTGGGCTGGCTAGGCTTTCCTCCCATTCCAAATCTGAACTAGAGAATATTGTTTAGACCTGTGAGATTCATTACAGGTGTGCGGGGGTGATTTTTGCACTATAGAGAAGGGTAGAGCTTTGTGGCCGAGCAAGGCAATCTGAAACAGAAGTGTGCACAAATAACAAACGGTAAGGTTGCCTGGGGTTAGGTCGGAAAATCCCTCCAATGGTAAAGTCAGGAACTCAGAGAGAAGATGAAGAGATCGAGTGTAGAGAGTGAGGGTAACCGCTCTAGAGTGTAAAATTTGGGATCATTGTAAAAGAAGGTAAGGTTACCTTATATAGAGGGAACTTGCTCCCCAAGTCCGTCTTTCTCTTCCATCTTTTTCTCTTATGGTTTAACAGATTGCTCCTCATTAGAGAAGAACAACGAGTTTGCTTGACATAAAGATATGTAGGTTTGTCATGTGTGTGCTATGTTTCTTCTATCCCTCCATGTCTCCACGTTCTGAGCAGATAGCAGAGTAGGGGAAGACCACCGCCCTTGCAAGGATGTGCTTTTCGTCTTTGTGGCATTGGGCTGCCCTTCAAGTGATGGGCCGCACTTCAGAGTGGGTGGGGGCTTAGGGGCGAACCCATAGCTCGGCTGCACTTCGGAGTGGGCAAAGGGCTATGAGCTCGGTTGCGCTTTGGCATGAGCCAGGGCAAGGGCTGAACCCCTAGCACTTCGGGGTTGGCCTTCCCCTTCAACAAGTCTTGTTTTAATAATTTAAATTGTTCATTTTACAAGGTACTTAGTAGATTTTATACACAAAAAATTAGGTCGATTCGATACTTGTAGAGTATTCAATTTATCACATTTGTCTCACAAAATATATATATATATACAGTAAATGTATTTTAAAAATATACTATCTTTTTTTTTACTCACAAACGCGATAAACGAAAACTTTGCAAAATAAACAATTTTGGTCATCAAAACTAGACCCGTGATACACCACACCCAAGGCCAAACGGCATACTCTAGTCCAGATTTGTAGTAGAGTCAATCTAGAATCTTTTATTTTCTTTGAACCTGCATAACCACTTGCAACTAGGGTTGTGTTATTGTAATATCTTAAAGATTGTATAATCATGGTTGTTAGTATAGTACGATTCAGACGATACGATATGAGTTTAAGGGTACACAATACGAATCATGCCTGTGAATCACAAATTTCTTGGAATTGCACAATTCAAATTTTGAATCATTAGAATCGGGTCGAATCGTCAATATTACGAGTCCCTGCGATTCACGATTCTGAATTTTAAAGTGAGAAAAATGGGATTTACAAGGGTTTGCGATTTACTGAAATCAAAAAGGGGAGGAGAAGAACAATCACTCATCTCTTGCATGTCTCTTCCATGGTTGAAGAATACCTTCGCTATGTTGCTCCTTGTTCGTCAGTGGTTGTGCTCTTTTTCACCAACGGGTTCTCTTCTCATCACTAGGGCTTGCATTTTTGAAAAGGGGGGATCTCATCTCTATGTAGAAAGGCAAGCTGGTCGTTTTGGGCTCTCTTGAAATTCTGGATTGTTTTGGAAAGTTGGTTAAAAGTTAATTTTTTAACTTTTTTAAAATTTTTTTTGTAAAACGTGTAAAAAAATAAAGAGATAATATGACCTAAAATAAATAAAAAGTCAAAAAAATAACTTTTAACGCTCTCACCAAAAGAGAGGCCTCTCTCGTCTTCTTATCTTTTCTCTGCTGCAAAAAAGGGTACATTTCTAGGCTGTTGAAGGCTGTGCAGATGTATGTCTTTTTTCACTAAACTTTCTTCTTTTGAAGAAGAATATTAAAATATGCTTAAATAATGCTCAAATTTATCCTAGACTATTCTGATCAATTAAAATATTATTAAATTATAATGTTCTGCATCATCTTTTTGTGTTTTTTATTTATTATTATTTTTGGTCTCATTTGAGTGTGCCCACTCCACTCAAATTAAATAAGTACATAGTAGTCCACATACTCTAAAAAATTGTATTATTGCATGTCATACTCATAGTAAATTATAGTGTGTTCTATTGTCATACTCAATAGTATATTTTATTTTATTTTTTAAAATTTTCATTACATGATGAAGTCTTCTAAAAAGAAAGGGACTGGCCCCACTTTGAGACTTTGAATGCATTAGTATATTGTAGAGATATGTATGAAATTTATGTTAGAATGTTGGCTTCTTTTTTTATTTTTTTAAATACATTTTAAGCAGTTTTATATGTATCTATCTATATGAATATATTTTACGAAAAAATAAAAATATTCATGATTTGACAACCATGTGTATAATATAAAATATTCCATCTCAATGTTTTTGATTGACATTCTATTTTTTTATTAGTTGGCCTTTGTGCTTATTGGTGTGTGGTTTGGCTTCGCAGTGCTTAGGGGAATCGCCAAAGTTGTCGGCCGAAGTCCAGACCGGCCATACCACCGGAGTTTCTTCTTTAGCTGTTATTTGGTCGGCAAGTGGAACAACTAGCAAAAGAGACTTACCAGAAGGATCTAACAACATGGCACGCCGGATGATTGATCTAGAAGCTCTCGCCTTTGGGACCGACCCTGTTCCCAATGAGACTCTTGCTGCCACTCGGTCAGCCGAGCGGAGTGTAGTTATTGCTGAGCAGACTGGTCAAGGTCATGGGCGAGTCCCCATTCCTCTTCTTTCTTCCACTGAAAAGGTTTCAAAGTGGAAGAGGTCCAACAAGGGCAAGGATGTTGTTGGGAGCTCGGCAGGGCAAGACTCTGTGGGAGAGTGGGTGCCCCCTTTCGAGCACAACGGCTGACCGATCACAACTTTGGACAGTGTGATGGAGTCATGCGATCTGGCCTTTGATTTGTCGAAGGCACTGCTGCTTCCTTTGGACATGGCTGAGCACAATGTCTCGACCAGTGATCTCATGAAGGAGGTCACGCAGCTGTTAATGGTGGTAAAGTTTCTTTTGCGCTCTTTTGAATTTTGAATTTTGATTTGTATTTTGCTCCAAGTCTCTTTGTTTGGTCATTCGCAGTGCATCCAACAGTTGCATGTCATGGACGCACGTCGGCAAACGCAAGAGGAAGAGTACAATCAGATGACCAATCTGATGGCTGAGACCGAACTGGTATTGAAGTCGGTGGAGGCGAAGCTAAAACAGGCGAAGTTGAAGGCAAAGGAGGCAAAAGTTGCAGTGGCTGAGAAGGAGAAGTACGCGAAGGAGGCCAAGGCGAAAAAAAGAATGGCTGAGAGGAGGGCCGCTGATGCTGAGGCTGCTCTGAAAGAGAATGAAGGCCGAGCAGGCCAAACTGATAGAGAAAAGCACCCAGAAAGGTTGGGATGAAGCTGGGGAGGCTTATGCTAGCAAAGTGCTAGAGCTGAGGGATAAACTGTACTCCAAGGGTTGGGTGGATGCCCTTCGCGCTATTGGGACCAACGAAGCTTTCCCTCTCTTTAAGGACATCCCAGTTCCATCCAAGGTTGCTGCGGCGAAGCCTAGGGGGCAGTCTCAGGAGGCTGAGTCTTTGGAGGTTACCCATCAAGTCTCTCCCCTTTGTCTGCCAATCCCCATTGTGAGGCTGATGTGATTGGAGAGGAGCAGCCTCATAAGGAGACTTAGTCTGTTTCGTTCTGCTTTTGTTTTGGATCTCGGTCGGCTGGACTTTGATGTAAGGCCAAGCTCCCTTCCTTTGTAATGAAGTTTCACATCAATAGAATGTTTTTTGAACTATGCCAAGTTTTGGACTTCTCTTCAATTTTTTTTTGGTTTCTGTGATATTTTCCCCCGGTCGAGCAACAAGGATGCAGCCTTGCATTGTTGGCTATTCGGCCAGACTTGGCCTTGTGCCTTGTAGAAATTGAAACTTGCCCCCAGGTTTGCGTCTCAGTCGCCTTCTGGGCTTTTGCCTTGGAAGAGTGTCAGATTGTTTGTTCGGTGGAGCAGCGGTGCAACGCTGCATTGTTGTCTTTGTTGAATTGGCTACAGATTCTGGAGGTCACCCCATGTGAAAGGGGTGATCCTCATGTCAACAATGGAAGGCCACCAACCTCATGTCAACAATGGAAGGCCACCAACCATGTCAAAAGTCAAAGAATGAGGGCTCTCCCACCTACTCCTTTGTGTATAAATAGAGACGGGAGGGAGAGGATATAGAGATCAGATGTGGAGCTGAGAGGTGTGAGTTGAGAGCAAAGAGAGAGAGAATTACAGAGAGTGTTGTAATTCACCATTTTGTTCAATATAGTGAATCCGCTGCCCGTGGACGTAGGCGACTTGCCGAACCACGTTAAAACTTGTGTGTTATTGATTGTTTGAGTTCCCTGGTGTGCCCCCGATCCTCAACAGTCTTCTTGACCTTAACTTTGAATTTGTTGGCTTGCCTTGCCCTTGGGTTAGCACATCCTGCTCAGTCGTTCCTTGACTCAGTCGAGCTTGGGGACGTGATTGCGACTCATCGGAGGGTTAACTCAGCCCTTTGACGAGCGAGAGTTGTAAAGATTGTCCATGACCTAATTATTACATCATTGGTAGTTTTTTTTAAGGTTTGCAACGTTCCACGGCATTGGGATCGTCTTGCCTGCTAGGTCGGCTAGGTAGTAGGCTCCATTGCTGGTGGTTTAAGTGACTTTGTACGGTTCTTCCCAATTAAGGCCGAGCTTCCCTTCTCCAGGGACCATCTTGTGGCCCATTACCTTTCTCAAGACCAGATCGCCTGGTAAGAACTACCTCAGAAGCACATTCTTGTTGAAGCTTTTTCTGAGCTGCTGTTGGTAGGCGCATTCAGGTCCTCGGGGGTAAAACTCTCTGGAGTTTTTGTGCAGTACACAAGACATTGTTTTGCGTACTGAAGGTCAAAAAAAAAGAAAGAATAGAAAATAGACACAAAATGGAGAGAATGTGGAGAGAGAGAGAGAGAGAGAGAGATAATGTGGAAGACGCTCGTCGGTGATAATGGCGGTCCGTTGGAACTCCAGCAGATGAAAAACTTCTCTCTCGCTCCCATCCCGCCTTCCCAATCTCACTCACTCTAGAGTGAAAACAAAAGCGGTGATTTTGGTCCCCCCAGTTTTTATTTTTTTATTTTTAAGTTTTTGCAATCTCAATCAAGTGGATTTTGCTTGTTTTGCTTTGTTTGATCTTGATTTGTACTTTGTTTGGTGAATCTGAAAGGTTTTGGTAAACTATTGAATTTTGTTGATTAATTGGTTCATCAAAGTTTGCAATGTTGACCCCTTCGGGTTGAGCCTTCCCCTATCCTTAGCTTGTTCTAACACAATTGGGCCTTGTGTAATATGGCTCCCTTTGTTTTAATAATTTAAAATGTTCTTTATGTAAGATACTTAGCAGATTTTTATGCACATAAAAAATTAGGTCGATTCAATTTATTACATTTGTCTCCAAAAAAATATATAATAAATATATTTTGAAAATATACTATCTTTTATTTTAATGACAAATACAATAAATGAAAATTCTACAAAATAAATAATTTTGGTCATCAAAACGAGACCATGGCTAAACAACATACTCTGGCCAGATCTATAGTAGAGGCAATCCAGATCTATAGTAGAGGCAATCTAGAACCTTTATTTTCTTGGAGTATGGGTAATCACTTGCAACTTGGATTGTGTTAATGTAATAGGTTAAAGATTGTGTAATATAAAATATAGTGCCTGTTTGGTGTAGTCTAAAAATTGTTTATTTTAGCTTTCAGCTTAATTTAAATTATTTTGATGTGTTTGGTTTAACTTAACAATGCAGCTTGTACCTTTTTGTAAGTCAGAAATCAACTTATTCTTTGAGTGAGGAAGAAGATGCTTAATTTATAAGTCAGAAATTAGCTTATGTTCATAATTATAAGCTATAAGCACTTTCACACAGCTCTACCAAACAGGACCATAGTAATTTTTGGTGGCCTGAAAATTCATAACTCGAATGACTCGAATGTGTTAAAACGACGTCGTTATTCATTTGAGTCATTCAAGCTACACAAATTCGGGCCATCAAGCATTTTTCTATAAAATATTCCATTTTTGTGGCTTTGATTGATGTGAGGATATATTTTCTGAATACGAACACGTGGCATGGTGACGCCGACGTGTCAGCCGAGGTGCCACGTGTCCTGGTAGTTACGCCGAGGTGATCTCGGAGTTGCCGAGGTTATCTCCAAAGATATCGGAATCCGAGATAGGCGGATAGGGGACAAGAGTCCTAAGACGAAGAGGGGACTTAACCTAGATAAGGATAAAGCTCTTAGGGAGTTTATCTTTATCTTTTAAAGAGTCCAAAGTAAACATTTGGTATGAAGTTCATAGAAGTCATACTTCTAGTGGGACTTGGATTGAGTATATTATAAAAGAGAGGCACCCCCGTGGGTCTAAGGTATGCAATTTATGTTTTGAGTATTCAGTTTAGCACTTGATTTATCTTTGAGAGATATACTGACTTGATCGTCGGAGTGCCCCCGGGTGGAAGAACCACCGCCGGAGCTTTTTCTTTCTGTTACAGGTTGCTAAAGCCATCTATTCTGCCTGTGCTCTCCAGCTGATCACTAAACGGGCAGTGTGGTCAGATTTTCACCCACACAATTTGGCGCCGTCTGTGGGAACGAAGGAAGAATAGATGGCCAGTAACGGACAGCAGGAAAATATTGGGGATGACGCCCCCACTGGGAGTGGCAGACCAATTGACCTTGACATTGAAGGAGACAACCACAATACAGAAGCCCGCGACCAGGGTCACAGAGAGAACGACGCCATCCCGGAAGGCGACACGTCAAAAAGAACAAACCAAGGAAAGTACTACAATGAAGATAACCTCCAGGTATGGAGGGACAAATGCCTACGGAGGGATGAGGAAGTAAAAGAACTGGCGAACAAGT